CCAGTTGTGTCCAGCAGCTTCTTCGCGTATGCACTTTGGCAGATGGAGATGCCGAAAAAGTTCTGTTGCAGTTCGATGCTGAGGTAGTAGCTGAGCACGCCGAGATCGCTCATCTCGAAGTTGTTCGAGCACGCCAATCTGAGCGAACACTCGCTCCTCCTCTATTCAACTTGATTGTTGATAAGATTGGTTCTTCTGTAATGATATACTACCGATCGCTTCAACGAGGCTCTGATACCACTTGTTGACTTTGGCAATTCGGAGGACAACGTCGACGAAAAATAGGCCGAAGGTCGAAAGAAAAATTAGCTGAAATAAAAGGAGAGAGGGAGAGAGATTCACTCACATTTGCTGAAAACTCGATGTCATATTTTCATTCAGTTGAACGGTTTAAATAACAAATCTAATTACAAAAATAGAAAAACCCATTATACATAAACAGGAAATTGGACGAAGACTCCTCGACTCCTCCAAAATTGGCACTTATAATTACGCTTTTCCATTAGCATGAATTCATATGTTTTTAGAAAACCTAACTAAATAAGGTATGGCTTTTATTTAACAAGTGTGTCTCTGGACTTCATAACACACCTCCCAAAAGTCGAGGAATATAATGCCATCTTGGTCATCGTAGACTGGTTCTCGAAATATGCAACGTTCGTCCCCACTCCCAAATTATGCTCGGTTGAACTAACAGCCCAACTATTTTTCAAACACGTTGTAAAGTTATGGGGCATTCCGTCATGCATCATCAGTGATAAGGATTGTAGATTCATTGGCACATTCTGGACTGAATTATTCGCCTTCTTAGGAATGACTTTAAACATCTCCTCGAGCTATCACCTCAAACCGATGGACAGACAGAATGGTTCAACTGCTTACTTGAAGAATACTTACATCATTGCATTGACGCTCGCCAGAAGAACTAGATACGACTTCTAGATGTCGCCCAATTCTGTTTCAATTGTCAAACGAGCTCGTCAACAGGAAAGGGTCCCTTTGAAATTGTAAGTGGACGACAACTGGCCTTGCCCCATATTATCGATCATTCTTATGCAGGAAAAAACCCTCAAACTCAAAACTTCACAAGAGAATGGAAGCAAACAACAGATATAGCCCGGGCATATTTAGAGAAAGCTTCCAAGAATATGAAGAAGTGGGCCGACAAGAAGCGCCGCCCCCTCCAATTTCGAGCAGGAGATCAAGTCGTCATCAAGTTGAGACAAGAACAGATCAGATTTCGCAGCCGAAAGGACCAGAGACTAGTTCGAAAATATGAAGGCTCGGTTGAAGTCCTTAAAAAGATCCGGGCTACCTCCTACAGAGTTGCGGTACCCACATGGATGAAAATCCACCCGATAATTCATGTGAGCAACTTGAAGCCTTATCACTCTAACCCAGACGACGACCAGCAAAATGTAATCACGAGACTGAGCATCGATCTGAAACAAAGAGACACCAAAGAAATAGAGGAGATCCTAGCCAACAGGGTTAGGAAGATAGGAAGACCTGTGCAGACGATTCGTGAATTCCTTGTCAAATGGAAGAATCTCCCTATGAAGTAAACAAGCTAGGAACGCACCGAAGATCTAGACTCCGCCGCCATCCACATTGCAAGGTTTGAAAGTAGTCGGTTGACAAGGACGTCAACCAATTAGGTGGGGGAGGATGTCATGGTCATGCTCGTCCAAGGCATGTTGCCCATGACCGCATGCCCTTGACAAGCCGATCTTTTCATATTCTAGTGTTTTACTTTTGTATTTCTAGGAAGTATGACGTTTCAAAAATATCATGTCTAGGCCCGCCAGACATGAAATGCCCCGTAGTGTACTATAGGGGGATACGACTAGTTGTCAACTTCTCCCTACACAAGGTTATATACTGTGAGCCATTGTTATTTCTCTCTTGCTTGCTTATATAACGTCTCTTTCGAAAATCTCTCTCTGTCCTCATTTTCTAAAACCTTCGCTTAAAACTGAGACTAGAGGCTCGAGCATACGTCGCTTGGTCGTAGGCGACGCAAGAACGAATTGGCTTAGCTCACTTGTCGTTGGAAAGTGAGTGTCGCACAATCGCAAGTCCGTTGCCATCAAAAGTGTGATTGTGACACTTGGAACGCATGAAGCCTTGGGCATAGGTATTTAGATTGTATCATAGGGCAAGCCCTTGTTGCATAATTAGACTACATCACCTGGAACATAAGAAGCCTTGTTTGTAGGTTTTCAGACTATGCCACTTGAAATGCATGAAACCTTGGGCATAGGTTTTCAGAGCATATCGAAGGGCAAGCCTTGAGGTGCGGGTTAAAACTGTGTCGCTTGGAATGCATGAAGCCTTGGACACAGGATGTCAGGATCATGTTTGATACTGTTAAATCTTAGGGGCAGTGTCTTCGAGAAAGAACCAAGAACCAAACAAGAATTTCGAAAATACCAAGAACAAGAGAAAGATCTAGGACTAGAACATGGATCAAGAACCAGGTTCTAAGGACAAGAACCAATAACCAAAAACCAAAAACCATAGTACTAAAGCCCTTAAAGGATAACCAATGTTTCAGAATCAAAGGATCAAAACCATACAAGTAGGCTACTTGCTAAGCCTTGTACTCATTCCTTATTTTCCATTTTTTTTAAGGTAATAAAGAGCTAGTCGAGGTCGAGAGCGAACTCTGGATCTGGTGCCATAGACAAGCCTGACTCGTGGTCTTCAACCCATTTGTTTTGAAATCTTTTAAGTTGGTTCCTTATTTTGTGTTTTAACTATTGTGTTGTGTTTTAATTACTCATGTATGAACACTATTTTGTTTTAATGAATATTATGTTTTTTTTTTTTTTTTTGTGAAAGTTTAACCATCTTTTTGGAGTCATTGATTCAGCCCGGTCCTTACATATGATGACCAAATAAAAGCCTCATTGGGCTAGGTAATGAGAAACTATGAAAATTCAACTAGGTGAAGGACTAGTGGGCCATAACATAAAATAACCCATAATGTAGTTCAAGCATATATTTTTCAATTTAAAAAATAACACATTATCAATCACGGTTCTATTTTTATTATAAACAATGTAACAATAGTAAAAAAAGTAAAAATCCAAAACTAATTAATAATAACTAATCCCTTCTGCTCACCCAAACTCTCACACAACTTCTTTCTGTACTCAACAAACTCCTTCTCACACAACCATATGTTACAAAAAACAAAACTGAGATATTATCGTCAAGATAACTCTTAATTTCATTATTATTTGCTAACCAACTAACTACCATCGAAGGATCATTCATCCAAAACCCAGATATTACCGTCAAGATAAGAAATGTTCTATAATCTAAAAATCAGCTCACTGTTCACTACAAATTTGGCAATGATGATTTGGGAGTCCACAAGCTGACACCTTGGACCAGCTACGACTTCAATTTTTGTCCAAGCTGGGGCTCAACATTGTTTTACTGTTCCTTCTAATGGCCTGGCTTGTTTCATTACTTCAATGACTACATAGATAAGAGAGATAGAGATAATTGTGAAAGTACTCCATGCTGGTGGCATATGAGTAAGCAAAGTGGCATATGAGTGAGCAAAATATCTATATGTTAAATATAAAACCGATAATATTATTATATTTGCTGTAATTGGTCATGTAAAAAATCCATATATCCATAAATTTGAAAGTTTTATTTTAATATTGAAATAAATAGATGTTTTTGATATGTAGTTTTTGTGGGTTTTTTTTTTCCCTATTTTAAAGCTTGATATGATTGGTATAAGTGAAATATAAGCGATCTTAATAACCTATCGATATAAATTACAATCATTATTGATAATTAAAACAACTATATGAGATGCGACATTGCACTAGAAGGATTTTGACCTAGAGTAAAGGTAAGGTAGAGCCTTTGGCTTGGCCTAGAGTAGAGGCATGTCGGTTAGAGTTATTACATGTATGATTGAACAAAGTTTAGTTTCTATATAAGTCATGTTTGGTTAGTGAAGAACCTTGTCTAAAGTCTAATGAAGCCACAAAGTCAGGTAAAACCTAAGTACGACTGGACAGTATTTGAAAATGCTACCACAATTGTAACGATTCAGATTTTTCATTTTTGCCTTATTTGTTAAGATTTTATTTTTATTTTTATAAATGACAAGATATTATATTATGCATTTATTTCCGTTGGAAGAGGTGCAATTTTAAACAAGGAAGTTATTAGAAATTGTAATGCCTTGGGTTACTGGAATAAAATAAAATAAAATAAAAATAGAATAAATAATTAAATGTAATCTCCCCGGAAATAGAGGGATTTCGTGCGAGGCCTGAAACATTCCTATTTCTCTAAATTTCCTTATCCTAAAACCCTAGTATGCCTTATTGGGAAATGTCTTGAGATTAGTTTTATATTCCTATGCCCAACCTTTTACATCCCTTGAAAACGATTCTCTCCAAACTTTCCTCCAGAACGTTGGGGTTGCTCTTCGAAGGAAGAATCGAGTGGAAGTAAGGTATTGATGTGAGGATCATTGTGTCAAAGAAGGTTGACCATCAAAAATCGGTGTTGAGGACGTTGTGGGATCGGTTGGCGTGTCGCCGGAATTGGGGAGACGGAAACTAGAGTTTCGTTGCTTGTTGGGTAAGGAAGGTGAGCTTTTTGGAATAGGGTCGAGCCGCAGACGCACACCCAGTAGCCCTAGCAGCTTCGCATGCGTACACAGTGCGGGTCGGCTCGCACGTGTATGAAATCGCCTCGATTCCGTCAATTCCCGAAGCTCGACTTGGCGGCTTAGTTGGCCGGCTCGACAACTAGGCTTAGTGCAAGGTATCACTATAATATATCGATTCCAAGGTTTTTGGCCCTTCCAAGCTATTTCTGCCCTTAGTTTTACCATCCAAGGTCAGTATGGTTCCTTAACGTTAAAGACAGCTTAGATCGAGGGTTTATTTTGATAAATAGCATGAGGTTTAGCTAGGGTACCTTATGAAAGCTTCTATATTTTTATGTGGTTATCATAGGACGTATTTAACCGCTGGGATTAGCTCATTGTGAGTGACTTCAACCAAGACCATCGAGGTAAGTGACCTTACTGTTGGAGTTAGGTTACTACGTGTTGTATGATGGTGCGTGCCCTGTGGCCCCTGCATGCACCATATTTATGTGATGTATAGATTGTGTTGACGGTAGATTGTGTATGTTATGTGATGTATGAATTATGTTGACTGTTGACTGTTTATGTTATGTGAAGTTATGAATGAGATGTTAGTATTATATGTCATGAATATGTTGATCGATGCCATAGATACACGTAGAATTATCGAGTCATGAGATGTTTATGCAACTGGAATGTACTTTCATGTTATGTAGTATGCCATGTAATGTAGGTCAAGTGAGATGCCATGTAATGTAAGAAACGTATATGCGATTTTAGCATTGCTTATGTAATGCCATGTTAGATATGTTAAGGGACCTCATGCATATATGTATGCCACGTGCATCGGGATTCTTCCCCTTTATGATACGAAAGAATGAATTACAATATTTATGTTCGCCATGATATCATGTGGGCCCTTTTCTATTCTGTGGTGTCCGGCTACGTGTAACACGTTGTGTCCGACCAAGTCAGGCCTAGGGGGTATGTTTACGAGCCCGCCTGGTGGGTCCATGTACACGTACATGGGCCGTGTGTGAAGGAGTACCACACACCCAACCCTACCTAGAATAGGAAAGAGCCTTGCATGTGTTTGCATTCCTAACCCCAACAGTGGGGTGACTTACTGAGTATTTCATAAAATACTCAAGCCACAGACTACTACATTTTTCAGGTAAAGACAAGGCGGTTGACGGCGGAGCTGAGGACACCATGGAAGTTGAAGATGGGATATTTTTAGGAGTTTACCTTTATTGAACTATTTTAAGTTATAGCATGAATATTGCTTTATTTAGATTCATTTTTAAATTCGGTTATTGAAGGTTTATTTTTGGAGATAGGTTTTTTGGATTTATGAATGTTCATGAAAGACTTTTCTTTGTTTCCAAGGTTATTTATGATGAGCTTCCACCGTAATGAATTATGTATGCATGAGTGATGTCACTAATTAGGTTTAGAAAATTAGGGCGTTACAACAATGTACAGGGAGGTTTATCGAATCAAGTTCACAACCAATTGTTATTAGAAGACAATCACGTTATAGTAGTCCCATTTATTTAAGTTTCCCAACTTTGAGAGAAGTTGATGTAAAACGTTGGGTTTATATAATGAAATGATAGTACAAATATATGATATAATAGGCACTTTACATTATGTCATAAATGATAAGGTAATAATATATTCATTTTCATTGAGAAATAAAATATTAGAGGAGGGAAATAGGAACTTACCGCATTTTCCAACTCCATCATAGATGGTAAACTAACAATTTAAAGGTTCATTATTTTTTAAAACAAATTTAAAAACAAGAGTTTCCAAAATTTCTAATTCATTTTCGATAAGAAAGAACAATAAACGAGATTTTCAAATAGTTATCAATTTTTTTCGGTCTTTTAATAAAAAAAAAACCAAGAACTATTTCAAATGAACCTTATTTAGCTAATCTAGATCTATGGGTGGTCCTTTGGTTTAAGGTTTTGTTTATGTTACTTATAAATCAAATAATTATATTTAGTGTAGTATGAAAAATGTTATAAGAAAGAGTGGACCTCACATATTCATGATAGGTAGATTTAGGGGAAAGAAGAGACAGAAAAATTTGTCAGTAAGATCTTCTTTTTCTTTTATATTGTTGTAATTATTTAGATTTTTAGTTATTATAATAGCATTTTTTTTAGAGAGAAAAAAAAAACAGGTAAATTGTGAACAGGGAAGATTTGGAGATTTAAACTATATTTTAAAAATTGAATATGTGATTCAAGCAACATAATAATATTGGTAATTTTTATATATACGACCAAACACAATCTAATTTATAAGAGATGACAGACCATGAAAAATAAATTACTCTTGAAATATTGCAAGAAAGTGCATAATACAGTAACTATGCCTTCTAGAAAACACAATAGTAATAATAGAAAAGGAAATCTTTAATAAAAATAAAATAATATATATATATATATATAATATATTTTAAGATAAAGTCTCTTATACTTTGCATGAAGTCTAACACACGCCCCGTTGACACATGCCCCTATGATTCTGCACATGTCATATTTATTGATATGTGTGAATTGTTTGTGAATCGATATGCTTATGATATGTTATGTATATGTTATGATATGTGAATTGTATGATAATACTTATAGTACGATGTGTTCAATGGTATGTTTGAGATAAGTTACGAGAAAGATGCACTAAACGTAATGTAACAATAGGAGTAAGATATGTTCATGAGACATTAAAGTTAGGTTACGCATCGAAGTGCTATGGATATGAGAGATTGATAAAAACAATATGGTCACGATCGATTGATTGAATACAATTAGGTTATGGGTAGAAAGGAATGGAATTATGATAGATTGATAGAACGATAGCGTTAGGATACATTCCTGTAACGATATGACTAAGGTATGTTCATGTAATGATATGACTGTGATAGGTATAAGAATGTTAAGGCTATGATATGTTAGGGAACGATATGACCACAAAGTGTTTACGATATGATATGATTATGATACGACATGTGAAAGACAAATATATATATATATATATATATATTCGTATATGATATGAGATGATATGAGATATGTTATGGTACGAAATATATGATAAATTGACATGTTTATACTATGATATATTGTGATGCGATATGTTATGATATGATATGTATATGATGAAAATAGTTATGTCCAAAAACATGAAATGTTATGATATGATATATTTATGTAATTTAAAATGTATTAACATTGTTAAAATTTCAAGATTGTCATTCCAAGTTTTATGGCATCTAAGGTATCCACTATGCTTATATGATGCCAATTTTTAAAAGAGAAATTTGTTAAGCCCATTCTTGATATTACAAAGGAGTTCGAGAAAAAAGAAAAAAAAAAGGGTTAAGGTGCCTTTCCCTTATGGATATAGGACCATTGTTAAAATGACACTTTTAGTATGCATAGGCAAAAAGGTTAATTATTGATCCTTTAGCAAAGTTTAGAGAATTTGGAGATCAACGTAGGAAACTAGTAAAAACTATTGATTCAGTTGATGGAATCAAGATGAGAGAAAAAAAAAAAAAGGGTGAGGATCGTAGGATTAAATTTGAGTAAATTTGTCAACCTTATTGCCCACATGAACATTTATTTCAATGAAGCGCGTAAGTCATCGACCTACTAAGTGAGAGTTCTGTTGCTCATGAAATTTTAGGAAGAATCAATACGATAAAGTTATTTATGAAATTTCATTGGCCATTAAAATATGATAATGGGCTAAACCAATTGTAGGTGTAAAATGACTAAAATACCCGTATAATTATGACCAAAGTGACCTTTAAATGACATAATCTTGATGAGTAGCCTTATGTCATGGTACAAAGGGATTACACAAAGTTATTGTAACGATTCACATATTTTCATTTTTTCTTATTTTTAAAATTTTATTTATATTTCAAAAAATGACAGATATTATGTTGCCGCATTTATTTTCGCTGGAAAATATGCATGATTTTCGGTGAGACAATTATACCTTATTGGGATGATTTTCGGTGAGACAATTATACCTTATTGGGAAATATCTTGAGATTCTTCTTCTATTCTTGTGCCCAACCTTTTACATCCCTTAGAAATGATTTTTGTTTCCAAACTCACATTTTGTATTGAGTGTGTTTGAGAGAATGGGAACCGAGGGTGTTCGAAAGGAAATTGTGTGGGTTGGTTTGTTGGTCTTTTGGTGAGTTCTTAGAATCGGTGGGGTTGCTAATCCGGAGGGAGAATCAAGTGGAAGTAAGCATCGACTTTGGGATCGCTGTGTCGAAGAAGGCAGGTCGTCGGAATCGAAGAAGGAGGACACTACGTGACCTCATCGGAAACGGAGAAGACTATGTCATCGGCGGAGGCAGCGCATCTTCGATTGGTGGTTTCGAGGAAGAAAAGTAGATATGATTAATAAGAACGAGAATCAAAACAAAATCAAAATTTAAAAGGTGGGGTCAAATGTTCGAACATTTCACTCCACATATTTTAACACATAAAAATAGAAAAATATCTATAACAACAAAATTCATCGCTAGTCGATATTGTCCGCTTTGTCCACTTTGAATCGCGTCTGCTTCACGGTTTTGAATCGCGTCCTTAAGGAGAAATTTCCGCCTTAAATATTCCTATTTAACCTAAGACTCTTACTACTCATTTAACCTGACATTTTATGCGGAATTATTTTAAAAAACCTTTATTATGAATTCCACGTTAACTTCGTGTCTCAATCATTCCTTCGGGAATAAAAAAATACAAAGAAAAAACAAAAACATTAAAAAAATACAAAGAAAAAACAAAAACATTAGTGAACTAAATGTCTTATACTAATGTATGGGCTAGTAATTATAATTTTGGCTCAGTAATTATAAATATAACTGAACCGATACTAATAATACTTCGTTAAATGCAAATACAACTGAACCTACAGTTTATTAAATGCAAATACAACTCAATCTATATTGACCTATACTATTGTCAAATGCAAATACAACTCAACCTATACTAACCTATAATACTGTCAAATGCAAATACAACTCAACTTATACTAATTTATACTATTAAATTTGAAATGCGAATCTATCCTATTCAGGTGCTATGATCTCGGGGTTGCAACGCCTTCGTCAAGCTTACAAGGGCACCTTTCCTTTATGTGAAAAATATAGTAGCACGAGTCTTGAGTGTTTTAAAAATACTTAGTAAGAAACTTCCTATCGAGGTTATGATGCAAGAACAAGCGACTTCAATGATGAACCTATCATAACAGTCTATTTTCCTAAGTTACTATCCTAACGGGTGGCTTGGATGTGTACCATATATTCTACGCATGACCCATATGTACGAGTATGGACCCTCCAGTCGGTTCGCACACCTCTGGCCCCTTTCCTTGTCAGGCGAGCATGCTCTGGTAGCTCTCTATGTCGGATACCCATTAGAAATAGTAGCCATCACCTAATCTTGCATGAAATAATTTTAAACATACTCCTAATAATTTAAACTAACTAAGCCTAATTATGCATAAAAACTTACTCCTAATGATTTAATCTAACTATTCCTAATTACGCATAAATAATTTAACCTCGATTCCAAAAATTTAACTTAAACCTAATTATGCATAAAAACTTACTCCTAATAATTTAAACTAAGTCAAATTATACATAAAAACTTACTCCTAATAATTTAAACTAAGTCTAATTGTGCATAAAAACTTACGACGAACAATTTAAACTAAGCCTTAGGCATAAAAACTTACTCATAATTTATAGTAAGCCTAATTACTCATAAAAATTTACTCTTAATAATTTAAACTAAGCCTAATTATGCATAAATAATTTAAACTCCATTCAAAAAATTTAACTAGCTAAAAGGTAGTAATACTAACCTTGAACGCTTTCAAAAAAAAATGAAACTAAGAAGAAAGGGTTCGAGCCTATCAAACCCAGGTCTTGAAAGTGTACTCCCTAACTTGTTCAAACGGTTCATTTGGGACTATAAAATTAAGTGGGGACCTCCCTTTTATTTATTTTTTATTTTTTTTATTTTTGTTCGCACACATACAAAAGAAACTTTGAAAAGTATCTTGCTCACACGGTTCATCTGGGACTATAAAATTAAGTGGGGACCTCCCTTTTATTTATTTTTTATTTTTTTTATTTTTGTTCATACACATAGAAAAGAA